AATACTGCAAAAAGTATCTAAAAAGTCAGCAGCAAATGAGAGATTAGAAATCATTTATTAGGACTGGAAGTATGGTTCAAGGGCTAGAGTGCCAGCCAAGCAAGCATGAGGCATTGAGTTCAAACTCCAGTGCTTCCCCCTCCCATAAAGAAAGAAATGTTCAGTGGGGCAGAAGTGACACATGCCTGAAATCCTAGCTACTCAGGAGGCTGAGACTTGAGAATTAAGGTTCAAAGCTAGACAGGGCAAAAAAGTCCCTGTGAGACTCTTATCTCCAATTAACCACTCAAAAACTGGAAGTGGTGCTGTGGCTTAAAGTGGTAGAGGCTCTAGCCTTGATCGAAAGAGCTTAGGGACATCACCCAGGTCCTGAGTTCAAGCCCCAGAACTGATAAGAAGAAAGCAAGAGAGAAATGCTCAAGAAATTTGTTATAAAATGCTAGACAAAGTTTGATATCTACAATATAAAAAGAGGTTTTACAGATTGACAAGGAAAAGTTAACTCAACAGAAAAATGGGCAAACAACAAAAAAAAAAAATGGACAATTCTTGGAACAAGGTGATCATGGTTTGAGGTCAGCCTAAGCAGAAAAGTTCAAGACATCCCTCTACCCCCCCATAATTCATAGCTGGGCACAGTGGTACACATCTGTCATCCCAAGCAACATAGGAGGCTGAGATAGATAAGACTGGGAAGATTGTGGCACTAGGTCAGGCACAAAAGTCCTCAAAACTCATCATGGAAGAAAAACTGAACTCGGCGACATGCACACGTAGTCCCATGACAACAGGAAGTCTAAAAGTGGTTGGAAGCAAGGGCCTATGCTAAAAATAACCAATGAAAGACTGGGCTGGAGGCATGGCTCAGCAGAAGAAGGCCTGTCTAGCAAGCATAAAGTCCTAAGTTCAGACCCTCAGTACTACTAAGAATCTACATTACATACATGTGTGATTTTGCGTGCAGTGCATCATGTCTGTCAACAATCACTTGATCCTGGAGCAGGCATACAGAGGGTTTAACATGAGAATGTGATGAAGTCTCCTGGGTGTGGGGAAGGAACTATGGCACAAGCTAACACTGGCAGTGTGATGGAAGAAAAGGGCAGTCCAATCTCCTGTAAAATATTAATATTAATATTATTAGTGACAATAATATTAACAATATATAATATTATTATATTGGTTAGTATTGATTAATACTAACAATAATAGCAGTAGTAATAATACTAAAAAGCAGGGGTCTTTGGATTTGGGCTCTCCCACCTCGCAGCCTAGCTAGCTTCCTGTCCCCTCATGCATGTGTCTCCTAGGACCCCTGCCCTACCCATTGGCCATCTCTCCCACCACCTCTGTATGTGGTCCTCCATGGTTTTCTCTATGATTCCAGAATTGAAATCAAGAGACAAGGCAAGGCAGAGAGCTCCAGTGTGTATGTGTGTGTGTGTGTGTGTGTGTGTGTGTGTGTGTACCTTCAGTGCAAGGCCCTAACCTCAGGGTCCCTGGATGACCTGATCTACCTGATCTCTCAGACTGGACCCTCCTGCATCTCAGCCCAGTGCCCCCTGTACCCTCAATGAGGGCTCAGAGAGCCCTGCCCATCTCAGTTGTCTCCCTTATGCTTTCTGTCGTACACTTTCTGTGTGTGTGTGTGTGTGTGTGTGTGTGTGTGTGTGTGATTAATGCCTATTTCTTCACTAAGCTAGAAGTGTCTCAGAGGGAGGGAGCTTGTGTGTGAAGCACTCAGTGTGAATGGCAGTAGGGCAGGACTCAAGAGAGCTTGGTGGCTTTCAACAATTTACTCTCTTGCTTGTTCTCTTTGTTCTTGACTCTCACTCTTGCTCACTTCTTTAATCATTGATTCCCTTATCCATTCCAGAAGCCAAGAGCTTTTCCCCATCTTCCCAGGCTGTGGGGGGGCGGGGCCAGGGAGGCCAGGAGGGCGGGCATTTGGGAGAAGGGGTGAGTGGACCCATGACGGCAGAACTCTGGGAAGGCATCTAGGACTTGAAAGCGTAGAGCTGGGCATGTTGAAAGTCCTTTAGTCAAGGAGGGTAGATTCTAGAAAGAAGGTGAAAGTGATGGACTGAGGAGGGTGAAGACAGATTCCTCTCTATTCTCCCTCTCAGGTGGCTCTTCCACTCCACTCCCAGACTCTGCTTCAGTGCGGTTCTGCCGGAATCTCTTCATTCTCTCTGTGTTGAGATCCTCCCTTCTTGTGGCAACTCATGTTCTCCAAGTCATCCTCATTCCTCCAGCTGCAAAGGCCCCTCCTGGCGGCTAGCAAACTCTCAGAGCATGAAATCCAGGCCTCCCTCAGCAGTGACCACTTCCTGGCTTGTGCAGTAATGTAGCTCCTCCTCCTCTCTCCACCCCACAGGGTTTACCTAGTTGTCCCTGTGTAATCCTTGAGCCAAAATCCAGCTCTGGAGAGATGCTCCAGCTGGTCTGGCCTGACCAGTGAGCAGTGCTGGGGGGGTTGGGAGTTGGGACACAACAGCAATTATGAGCCCATTCTACTGATGGGAAAGTGGAGGCACAATCAAGTGGCATGATTTGACCTTGCTCCCAGAGTAAAGGAGTAACAAAGCCCAATCCCAGCTTGGATTTTCTGGTTCCAGAAGGAAGGCAGCCTGGTAGGAGGTAGAGGCTGGGTGGGGTGGGAGCTGGGTCCTGAGAACCAGCAGGCCAGAGAGATTTGGAGTTCAGATGGCCAAGTTCAGGGAAAACACAGCTGGGGAGGAGCCAAGGTATTTATTATGCTTGGTCTGCAACTCCAAACAAAGCTGATGGATGGAGCCGCTCCAGTTCCTATAAACAGCTGGGCCTCCCTCCCTCCCTTCTCCCCTCCTGGTTCTCAGCACTGTTTGCAGTGAGATAGGGGTAGGGGAATGGTCAAGAAACAGGAGAGGAGATGATGGGGACAGAAGGGAAGGACAATGATAAGATGGGGTCCTCAAGGGAAGTGCAGAGGGCCAGAGAACATACTTATTTTTGCTTCCTCATTGGCTCCTGCTGCTCCTGGACACCGCACACCCCCTGTGTCTTCACTGGGTCCCCTGGGTTCTGTCGGAGGGATGTAAGTCCTAGAGGGCAGAGGTCATTCATTCAGGAAATGTTTTCTGAGCTCATTTTCTGGGTTAGCTCACAGGCCCTGGGGACACACAGAGGACTTGGAATAGGAGACCAGAATTTTGGTCCTAGAGACAGATTGGGAGGACCCTTGATGCTCTGGCCTTTGGGCAGCTGGAAGAAGAAATCCAGGCAGACTTCTGAAGGTTAGCAGAAGGCATTTGGAGATCAGGGTGGGTGAGACAGTCCCAGTGGAAGAGGGAAAAGCTGGGGGTTGGGGAGGCTCAGGCCACAGTGCCACCTAATGGTTAAGATCACTAGCCCCGGGGGTGGGACAAATCTGGGTTCAAGTCTCAGCACTGGAGTTTCATTTTCTCTAAAATGAGGATGCTAACCGTAGAAATCACTTCAAGGGTGGTTGGAATTAAAGACAACAACATCCACCAAATGCTTCGCATGGAGCCAACAGCTCTGAGACCAAGCTGGGAAATGGCAGAGAGAGCTGGGGAGCTGCCTGAAGGGCAGGGGTGCGGGAAGAAGACAGCTTGTCCAGGGGCCATGGGGATGTGGCCAGAATAGGGGTGACAGGGTGGGTCAGAACCTGTGTCTAGTGGAGTGCCAGGACAGCTCACCGAATTGAAAGAGCTAGTCAGCCCGTGATGGTACTTCAGGCCTGTGACATGGGTTGTGAGAGCAATCTCCCTGGAACTTGCTGGAATCTGAAGTAAGCCGGATGCTCCGATGACCCAGTTGGCAGTTATGTCCACTTTGGGCTGTAAACAGGAATTTCGGTCTCCCTGGGGGGCCTTGGCCAGGTGAACAAACTCCCCTGTTTGCCAGGAAAAGGGGTCCACGTGCTCCCACTGCTGGGAGCCCCCTGGCACGGGAGCTTGCTTTTCACCTGGCATCTCGTGAGTGCCCCCTGCTTCCCAGCGCTTCCTCAAAGAGGCAAGTGTTTACATTTTTCCTCTGGAACATAGGAACCAGGAGCAGGAACAGGACTGGGGGTGAAAAGTCACAGGCCAGGGAGGCTGGCTGGAGTAATAAATACCCTGGAGGCAGAGCGGCCCCAGGACCCAGTGGCAGCTAAGCCTTGGGGGACAGGGGGAGCAGGAGTGGAGGCATCAGTGAGTTGGGCTGCTGGGAATCCCAGGTCAGGGAAGCTTGGCATCTATAGAGACAGAGTGTGTGAATGTGTCCAGCTCTTACTAAGAAAGTGTCAGAGGCAGGGAGGGTGACCACTAGAGGACACATCCTGGGGCTCAAAATGCAATTCAATGACATGAAAGGCCAGGGGCTCACTCCAGACTCTGCTGCAGCGCCTTGATTCTGCCCCCCAGTACTCACTTTGCCCCTGGCCCTGCCCTACCCCAGGTGAGGCAGCTCCCACCTCCCCTCCCCCACCAGCCCCGGCTCCAAACTCACCCTCCCAGTACCGCCTCCCCCCCCCCCAACTCCCAGCCAATGGGCGGGAGGGGGGGGTCTCACCTTATATGGAAATGGTGGAAGAGACAATTTGATGTACAGGGTCATGGAGGCCCAGGAGGGTCTGCTGCCAAGGGCTGAAAGTCTGGCTGTGGGCTGTGAGCCACAGGAGAGGAATGTGATATCAAGGGTCTTCTTACTATGTGTAAGATGGACAAGGCCCGAGTCTCCCTGAGGTGGGGCAGGGAGTGACATCGCTATAAATGGAAGTTGCCAGTCCCTCAGTGTTGCAGTGAGGAGGGTCAGGTGTTGGAGGCGAAAGAACAGGGGTGCAACAGGACCCTGATGGAAGTTGAGGTCCTGGGTGGTGATGGTCCAAAGCCCCAGTATCTCCCAGAGACTCACCACAAAGATCAAAAGATCCTGAGTGAAGTAAGGAGGTCAGAGTTCAAGTGGACACCATGACATGCTTTATCCACAGCAAGAACAAGGCTGGCAAGGCACTGTTTCTCCAAAATTATACTTTAATACATTCATGTGGTATACAAAGAGCTGGTCCCAGGGCTCCTGGGAGGTGACAGCAGCATAGTGTAGTGTTTTCAAAAGTCAGGCACAGGGCCCAGTGTGTTGACCTCTAGGCCTGCGGAGAGTGCTGTGTGTGGTAGCACCTGACCCCAGCCTGGACTAAATCCACCTGATTTCCCCAGCCAGAGCCTAGCTCTGGCTCTGCCCATCCACTCTCTGATCCTATCATCCTTTCTCTCCTCAGTTTTCTCATCTGTGAAACGGGAATGAATAGCATCTCTGTTTCTCACTTGTTACCAAGTACATGTGTAGACCTAGACTAGGCACAACCAAAATAATGAAGACAATGACACAGGGACACAGACTGGTTCCTACTGCTTCCCTTTTTTGTAACTGCAGGGTGTGAGTGACAGGGATTTTATGAGTAGGTCTTTCTAATCATTTTCCTAGAGGGGAAAACCCCTGCAAGATGAGAAATGAAAAGAATGTTTGGAGCTGGTATTATTTTGTGATGTAACAGCTGAGATCAAAGGAAAGCACAGGTATCTACTTCTGGCCTTGAACCCAGGACCTTGGCAAATACTCAACCACATCCCCAGCTGTTTCATTCTCTATAGGTTCTGCCATTGACATGTGTAGCTCTGTGCAAGTACCATTCTCTTTCTAAGCCTTATTTCCTTCTCTGCACTCCATGGACACAAACTCCAAGCTAGGCTCAATGGAAGGAGAGGGAAAGAGAATGTAAAGGCAGGACCCACACCAGTCTGCAAAGGATGGAAAGAAGGAAACATAAGGCAAGAAAGAAGGAGCATAATGTGTGCAGAGCTGTCTTCTCTGCTTAGACCCTGGTCAGGCCCCTGGAAATAGGGCCACTTCCTGTCCTCCAAACAGTGTGGAGGGTGGGAATGCCAGAGAAGGTCACTGCACCCCTGCAGTAGCAATGCTTAGGCTCTGGAGACAGAAGGATGTGTGACTCTCAATGTGACAGATCGTAGCTAGGAAACTCTCTAGAGAGACTTCTGAAAAACTTGTTTTCTTCTTTTATACAATTGGGGGGGGGGCAAACCCCACCAACTTTTGAGAGTGGTCACACAGAAGCAGACACAAGGCTTGGCTGTGTGTTTCCAGCTGCAAATCAGAGCCAGAGATCTACAGCTCTCTTGGCTCAGCAGCCAGGGCGGGGCTGGCCTGGAGAAAGGGTTTTGGCGAGGGGTGGAGATTCCAGGCAGGAATGGCGGGGGGAATGGTGTGCAACAGGAGAGTGCCAGGGAGGTTAAGGCCTGCCTACAAAACAGGAAATGGAATAGCCCAATATGGCCAGAGCTCAGGATGACCACCTCTTAACCAGCCTTCCCAGAAGTACTGAATCCAAGACAACTCATGAGGCTCTGGTGTCTCTCTTCCGGTCACGAGCTCTTCGGTTTTTTTCTTTTTTTCCAGAAAGGCTGAAAGTCATTATCAGAAAATATGACAAACAGGCTGTGTGGAAATGTCTCAGACAAATCCCCTTGGGCTTGGCCCTCCCTTTCTGTGCCATGGCCAGGGCAGAGCTCTCCATATTGAACAGGCTGGGGCTGCAGAGCCTTAGAGCCTGGAGCTTCCCCCACCTCTGGCCTCAGCGCACTGTGTGGTCACTGCCTGCTCCACAGATAGCCACCTGTCCACCATCCACCAGAGGGTGGCCTGTGGATGCTTGGTAAAGATTTGTTGAACTGATGAGTCAAGATGATTCTCTACCACCTGTGCAACTTCTGGTTGCCATAGCTGACCCCATGTGCAGCCTGGGAGGGGGTCCCCTGAGAATGCAGGAAGGTACAGAGAAAGGAACTCTTGGCTGGGGGGTTAAGAGAGCAGGGTTCTCTCAACCACCGCCATCTCTGTGCTTCTGGCTCCATTAGGCTTTGTATTGTTGGTTAAACTTCTGCCGGCGGATACAGCAACAGGTAGCAAGTGTGGTGAGGAGGATGGCAGCGACCAGCGTGAAGGTGAGGATGATGATGAGGTTGACATTCTTGAGTCCCCCCTGGTCACAGTCTTCAGGACGCACGTGGCTCAGAGCCACCTGGGCCTGGGAGCCAAAACGGCAGGTCAGGTCCTGGGTGGCATCCACGTCCACGCGGCCCTGGTGCAGTTGAGCCGCCAGCCAGCCATTGCCACAGCAACTGAGTGGGTTTCCCTGCAGGTAAAGGCGGCGAAGGCTGGTCTCTAGGCCGCCCATGGCACTGCCTGGCAGGAGGCTGAAACTGTTGTTCCGCAGGTCCAGCACCTCTAGGGACACAGCCTGCGTCCAGGCAGGCAGTTGGCTGAGGTGGTTCTCAGCCAAATTGAGCCGCTTGAGGCAGCGGAAGCAGGGCAGGTCCACCTGCAGGACGGTCAGCCCGTTGCCCTGAAGGGCCAGCACCTCCAAAGAGGCCTCCAGGCCTGCCAAGGCACCAGCCGACACATCCAGACCAGGGTTGGCAGAGAGGTCCAGCTCTGTAAGTGGGGTGTGGAGGAAGGCACCTGGGGGGAGAGTCTCTATCTCATTGCCCACCATGTTCAGAACGCAGAGGGTAGGGATGCCAGAGAAGGTCACACAGCTGTGGGGGGAGTGGGGCTCAGTGGGGCCCCCACAGGGGGTGATCCGGTTTCCCTGCAGGTTGAGCCTCTGCAGGCTGGCCAGGCTGGTGAAGGTGTGTGGCAGCAGGTCCTGCAAAGCATTGCCCTGTAGGAGCAGGGTCCGCAAGGACCCCAGGACTCTGGTGCCCATCTCTAGTGCCACCAGGGCATTGTGGCTTAAGTCCAAGAGTAGCAGGCAAGGCAGTGTGCCAGCATGCCGGGCCGCAAAAGCCCGCAGGCAGTTTCGACTAAGGTTTAGGAATCGTAAGGAGGTCAGATGCTCCAGAAAGCTGTCAGGGATGAGCTCGATCTCATTGTAGCTCAAATCCAGGTTTAAGAGTTGGGAGAGGGAATGAGTACTGGCGTTCCAGCTGGGATTGGAGAGGGGCACTGCTGACCAGCCCTCAGATGGTGCCTGGAGGTCCTCCTTGCCCTGGGGCTGCCCCGCTGGGAGCCGGATGAGGTTGTTGGACACGTTCAGGTAGATGAGTTTAGGGAGTGAGGTCAGGTCAGGGAAGTGGAGCAATTTGTTCTCTCGCAAGTCCAGCCAGGTGAGCTGGAGCTCAGCCGGGGGCTCGGAGGCTGTCTGGAAGGCCTCGATGCTGTTTCGGCTCAGGTCCAGCACCCGCAGCTGCTGGAGGCTGAAGTCTGAGATACAGGTGAGGGAGTTCCTGGAGAGATTGAGGTGGGCCAGGCGGGGTAGGGTCTCAAAGGTGCCATCCTCGATATCCATCAGCACATTGCTGTGGAGGTCCAGCCGCTCCAGGTCAGGCATGCCCCGGAAGGTGTGGCGGGTGAGGCGGGTCAGGCTGTTTTCGGCCAGGGACAGCGTGCGCAGGCTGGGGGCCTCCCCCAGCAGCCTCTCCACCAGGCCGCTGTATAGACTGTTGCCAGATAAGTCCAGGGAGATTACGTGTGGCAGGTAGCCCAGGCCACCAGCACTGAGTGCGGTGCCTACCGCCAGGCGGTTGTGAGCCAGGTTGAGGTGCTCGAGGTGAGGCAGGGCCTGCAGGACTTGGGGCTGGAGGACGCTGATCTCGTTGCTACTTAGATCCAGGTGACGCAGAGCGACATAGACACCCAGAGGGGAAGTCAGGACACTCTGCAACTGGTTTCCCGATAGGTCGAGGGTCTTGATGTCCAAGGGGAGTGTTGAGGGGACCTGGAGCAGACCAAGGCCCTGGCACAAGGCCTCCTTGTCCACCTGGTGGGGGTAGGGGCAAGAGAACAGCCAACATGAATGAGGGTAATGTTTCCTAAGAAAAGACTCCTAACCTGCTGCCAGGCTTAGGCAGACTCTTCCATGGCATTCCAGAATATTTGACTTTTCCCCACCCAGTCAACTGTCTGATGACCCCCATGCTGCTCCCTGTGTCTAGCAGCTAGTAAGTAGAGTCGTGGGCAGGAAGTCGAGGGGTAGACAGACAGAAGGATAAAAGAAGTCAGAAAATCCCTGTACGGATTTCCATTTTATAGGAAACTATGCCACGTTCTCCTCAGAATAATCTAATATGGTGGGTCCGTTCTAGGGCCTGCAGAGTTAAATTTCTGGCACTGGCCAGGAGCCACACAGGAGGAAGATGTCCCCACAGAGGAAATGGGCATTTTGTCCTCCTGTTACCACCTTTATTTTGGTTTCCCACTCTCGGGTCTTGCTCAGGGGATCAGGACAATGGGGTGGGCTCCGGTGCGAGTTCCTAGATGTGACCTTCTTTCTGCAATGGCTACTGACCCATCCCCACTAACATCAGTGGCCTCCTTTCCCATGGCCTGGTCCAGCATTGGACTCTGGGAGTAGGGACAGGTAAGAAAACACGGCAAAAGACAGCCAAGGTCCCCACCAGCAACAGTCTTTGGTGACAAGACTGTGATTTTGCTGTGTGACTTCTGTCAAGTTTCATTACCACTCTGGGTGTTTATGCAAACATGAACTCATCATTCTGTAGCTCCCACTTGGTATTTTATATTTTCTTAGCTCTTTTAGTTCTGTATATAAGGTTGGCTCAGATAATATATAAGGGAGACTTCAGATCACCCAGCTGAAATTTAAAGCCAGGTCTTCGAACAACCAAAGACTCCACTCTCAATCCAAGTCTTTGGTCTCCAAGTTCTCAGGACCCCAGTCTTTTCCACCAAGGGTCAGACTTAACCGAGTACCTGGCCCAGGGCCACTCCTATTCCCAGCCTCTGTCCCCATTGAATACTACTCACCCATCCACTCAGTAACTTCCTGGGGACTGTTCCAAACTCTGCTCTCCCAGGCTGCCCTGCTTAGACCCAGGGTGGAGTCCAGGACCCTGAACAAAGCCTTCAAGCCTCCTGACACCTGTCTCCTTGCCTCCTACCCAACTCTACTCAGGCCCACATATAATAACACCAAATGGACACTACACCCCCCACATCTACCTCTGGCTCTCCTCCTTGGTCTGGTTATGCCACTCCTGAGCTCCAATATCGCCTCTATCAGGGAGCCTTCCCTGACTACTACAAGTTTTGTGCCCATGAATTATGACTGTCTGTATGGACCTGCTAGAGTGAGCTCAGAGATGGATGCTGTGTCTCACACCTGTGATCTTAGCTACTTAGAAGCCTGAGATCTGACGAACACAGAAGCTAGCCAGAGCACAAAGTTTGTGTGACTCTTATCTCCAAACCAGTTAAAAGCCATAGGTGGAGTTGTGGCTCAAATGGTAGAACACCAGCCTTGAGTAAAAAACCTAAGCAAGAGTGTGGGGCCCTGAGTTTAAGCAAAGGAAGAAAAGAAAGAAAGAAAGAAAGAAAGAAAGAAAGAAAGAAAGAAAGAAAGAAAGAAAGAAAGAAAGAAAGAAAGAAAGAAAGAAAGAAAGAAAGAAAGAAAGAAAGAAGAAGAAAGAAAGGAAGGAAAAGGAAGGGAAGGGAAAGGAAGGAAAAGAAAGGGAAGGGAAGGAAGGAGGGAGGGAGGGAGAGAGAAAGGAAGGGAAGAAGGGAAGGAGGGAGGAAGGAAGGAGGGAAGGAAGGAAGGAAGGAAGGAAGGAAGGAAGGAAGGAAGGAAGGAAGGGAAGGAAAGAAGGAAGGAAAGAAGGAAGGGCAAGCTAAGAGCAAGAAAAGACTGGGTCGATTGATGTGGATACCTTGGACCTGGCCCACGGAAAGTAGTGAATGAAAGTGTTTAGTAAAGGGCTAAAACTTGAAGACAATCGCCACTAAGGAGAGAGAAGAGGAACTCTTGGTATATTCCGATTGAAGTCAGAGCCCTTTAGAGCAACAGAAAGTGAACTAACCATGTCCCAGATGGGGAGACAGGACCAGCTGAGGCCAGCTATTGCTTACATGGGTGTAGGGAGCCTGTGGCTGAGCCAGCAGGAGGGCATACTACCTTGGGGTGTCCAACTAGGTCATGCTGTCATTCCTCCCCAGCACCCCAAGATGAGCCATTAGTAAGGAGTCTAACTGTTCGGTTTCAGGCATTTGTGTGACCAGTAAACCTGGCAGTAGCAGTGCTGGCCCGCACCTCTGGAAAAACAGTTCCCTGAGGCCCCAGAGGACCCAGGGAGTCCCCTGCAGCTGGCTACCCTGGGAAGCCTGCCATGGCACCTTGCCAGTCCTCCCCACCTCTGTGCCTGCTGAGCCCCAGGCATGCCTGTCTCCAGCACTGCAGCCACCTGGACTGTCCTGATTTCAGAAGAAATGGCAAGATGAACACGATGTACTGCCCAAAGTCAGTGTCAGGAGCTCAACATGGCAGGTTGCTCCTCTTTCTGGTGCAAGCTGAGCCTGACCTCCTGGCCCTTGGCTGGTCAGGTCTCCAGGCTCATTCCACAGAATGGTAGGTATCATTGACTGAGCACTTGCTGCATAGGGCTCTATGCTGGTTATGCTGGTTGTGTTTGTCACCCCCATGCCAACTCACACCTAGGTCTCTCTGGATGGGCAAAGGCTCTCTGGGGCACCAGCCCAAGAGGAGCCAGGGCACAAGGCTAGCCTAGCCCAGAGCCTGAGACTTGCTGCCCTCCTAGGTGCCAGGTCACCTGTTGAAGAGGCCTGGAGGGGGGTGCCTTGGGATACCCACTTCTCCAGCTCAGGCCAGGAAGAAGCCTGAAGATGATCGTGGCTCCCAGACCTGCACTGCTAGCTGCCCCCAACCCTCAGCTTCAAACTCCCAGTATCAAGAAACTTTACAGGGAAGTGCTAGAAGGACGGTGGGGGAACAGGACCTGGCCAGGGCTTGGCCCCTCCCCTCTGCTCTCTGCGATGCCAGCCACACCCACATTTCCTCTTAGCAGAGAGGACTTACCACCCAACTCCGTTCACAACCTGGACATGGGCTAGAATAAGAATGAAAAGAGGAACCGACAATAGATGGCATAGGGGAGCTGGGTTCAAATCCTGCCTCTGTTACTTCAACTTGTGGGGACCTAAGGGAGGGCTGTTGTTGTCCGTGTTGGTTCAGAAACAGCTTCCTATCTGTTGTTCTCCCCCCCCTCCCCACCCCGAGTCCAAATGGCTTCTCCTCTGCCTGCTGGAGACCAAGATCTTTCATCCCTGAACCTCAGCCCTCCGAGGGAACTTGGATATTCAGTGGTATCTGAGGCCTTCTCTGCCTATTATTTGAACTCTCAGAATCTCAGAAGGACTCTGAGGGGCAAGAAGAGTGGATGGCCAGGGCGGGACACTGCAGGCCTGGGCAGGCCCTGAGCTGGGTTGTTGGCAAGTAGCATCCCATACTTCTGGCCTCCTGAGACAGCTACTTGTTCTCTGACCTGGGGGTGGGGGAGCTTCTGGTAGGTCAGTCCCTCCTCCAATCCAGCCCTGGCTTTGACCTCAGCCACTGCCCAGCCTTACAAGTGCACTGAGGTAATCTCTACCCTGTGCCTCTCATCTTCCTGATATGAAGCAGGCAGGAAAAAGGAGCAAAAAAAATAAGACCTGACCCCCTGCACTCAAGAATTTCTTGGCCTGGCAGCTAAAATGGATGCGGACCCATCGCCAAGCACCCCATATGCTCAGCATATTTTGTATGGAGGTGGAGGAAAGTCTGGGGGTGCCCAGGAAGGAACCACTGGAGGTCAGCTGAGGAAGGTCAGGAAAGGCTTCCCAGAGGAAGTGGCGTGTAAGCTGACCGGAGTGAGAGAAGGGCATTCTAGGTCTGAGTCAAGGAGCCCATCCAGGGAAGCAAATTGGTCCCCCATAGAAACTAGCACAGAGGAGCCTCTCCCAGCTGGCCCTTCCCACACTCCCAACACAGACTCATACATATTCTCCCCCAGCTGGGCCAAGGGCCCCCTAGGGACAGCTTAGGGAAACAGAAGCCAATATTCATAGCACAATGCTGTTGGTCAAGCCACCCAGCCACTCTGAGCCTAAGGTTCCTCCTCAGTGACGTGTGAATCCTGGCGCTTACCTGGTCTGGTCTTTAAATCGTCTAGTCGCTGTTTATGAATGTAAGACCAATCCCTTCCCTCTCCTGATGACTCTAACCTCTGGCTTGGGGCTGGACAAGGATGGGTGGGGCGGCCTTCTCCCTGGCTGGGCAGGGCAGCTTACCGTCTTACAGGAGGACCCCTTGTCTTGGTGTTGGGAGATGGTCAGGCCTAGCGTCAGCGCGGCCAGGAGCAGCAGGATCCGGTGGCTCATGGCTCTGTGTAGTGGGGAGAGGGGAGGGGACAGTGTGAGGCCACATTGCCAGCCCTACCTCTCCTGCCTGTCTGTGCTGCACTTCCTCAGGGACCCAAACCCACAACTGAGCTAGCATCAAGGTACTGCAAAGGACGCAGGCAGGACACATAGGGCTGCACAAAGGGCCTCAGAGAGCCAGGTGGGAGGTGTATGCCTGCAATCCCAGCACTTGGGAGGCTGAGGAAGGAGGTTCACATGTTTGAAGCCAGCCATAGCCAAGGGGAAGCAAGTGTTTTAAAGCCATAGGAGACAGCCTGAAAAAAGAGGAGAGGAACCCTCAGGCAAGAGGAGAGGAACTCTACAGATTGCGCTGGTCTGACTCAGGGCTGAAGGTTGAAAGAAAGATGCCTCTGACTCCATTTCCATCAAGACTACAAGCAGGTCCCCCCAACTCTAGTTCCTTAGGCCCCATATAGAATTCCTCATTTTTTTATCTATAGTAGCTCACTCCTGTAATCCCACGAGGAGGTAGTAGGTACTGAAAGGAGTTGTGGTTCAAGTCTAAACTTTGCCAGCCAAGGCAAAGTTTAAAGCATCCTATCTCAACCAGTAAGCTAAGCATGGTGGTGGACATCTGTCATCCCAGCTACATGGGAAGTGTAAATAGGAGGACCACAGTCCAGGTTGGCCAGGACAGAAATACAAAACTCCATTTGAAAAACAACCAAGATAAAAAAGGGCTGGGGCCTGGCTCAAGTGGTAGAGCACCTGCCTAGCAAGAGCCAGGCAGTTCAAATTTTAGTTTTGTCAAAATTAAAGAAAAGAAAGTGAGAGAAAGCATGAGAGAAATAACTAGAATTCTTCATTCTCTGCCCCTTTATTTGGACCTTTTTCTTTGGATTCTGATTCTCAGCCCTTCCCATTGTTCAAGAACAGCACAGGCCTCAACAGGAAGCCCCGCTGGGGCCAGGCCTCCTCTGCCTGCTTGTGCAGGCTGCCAGCCCCGCACTTCCACCCTGAGGGCTTGCTGTCCTCCTCCCCCAGGGGTTCCATATAGGCCCCACAGGGTTGGATGGAGGGGACCCCAGAGGCCTCAGCAGGGTGAGATCCCAGTGATCCTCCCTGAGGGCCTGAGCCCTGGGGCTCCCCACTGGGGACACACAAACCTTTCTTCATCTGTTCACTCAAATACCATCTTAGCCAAACACCCCCACGCATCTCGGTGCTAAGGGCACAGAGCCACGCACAGAAATGGTCACAGCATGGACAGATCAGGCCCTCCAAAAACACATCTGACAGCTGCTCCTATCTCTACTTCCCTGCCTTGTGACCTTGTACAAGTCATTTCTCCTCTCTAAGCGTGTTTCCCTTTCTGGGGTTAATGATAACCATGCAAATGTTGTTGAGGATGAATGACATAGAGTCGGTGAAAAGACCACTCATTCCACCCCAGTACTCTTCTCTGTACTTCACAATGATTAACTCAGTCCTCACAATAACTCATTGACCCAGCTTCATCATTACCATTCTCATTTTTATACAAAAGAAAAGTAAGGCTTAGAGAGGTTGAGTGGTACCCTTAAAGCCACACAGCTAAGTGGCAAATTCAAGCAAGTGTGGCTCCTGGGTCTTAACCTAAAGGTCTCTCCCAAAGTGGAGGGTCTCGGTAAATGCTAAGTTGTAACCCTGAAGGAGGCTCTGGGAGAAAAGGCATTTGCAGGGCCTCGAGGGCTGGGGTTGTCAGAGGCATTGGTGGTGGAGTTTAAAGGCAGTTAGATGGCTGCTCAGAAGTCCGTTCTTGCTGGAATGTGCAGGGACCAGCGGGGACCATCCAGCCCTGCTGCCCACTCCCTCAGGCCCAGGTCTGGCCTCAGCTCTCACCTGCAGTGGGCTGGGCTTTCACAGGAAATTTGGCTCTGTTGTTTAAAAGGCAGATGGGCTTCCACCAGTTCAACATTAGCATACAGAGCTCTAGCGAAAACCCCCCCGAGTCCGGCCTTGGGCCCTCCCCAGCCGGCGCTTGTCTCTAGGCTGGCTTCTTACTGTCTCCTCTCCTGCTCTGAGTCCTGATACTTCTGTTTCCTAAGCTCTCTGAGTATCTTTCCACTGCTGAGCCTTCACTTTCTCCCCCTCTCTTCTACTTCTGACTCCTGCTTATGATGAGGGGCTTGGCTGAGCTATCACCTCCTTCAGGAAGCCTGCTCTGGTTCCCCCAAGGCTGAGCTCTGTCTTCTGGTCCTCCACAGCCTCTGAGCTTCAGAAAGCCCAGCTCTAAGTACTCTGTGCTTTGCTCCACATCCTTTACAAGGGATGTACCCCAAGAGCGGAGGGAACCTCTCTACTCTGAGACTCACCTCAGGCAGGCCAGGCAAAGAGGACGTGTACCTGAAGGCTCTGTGGGACTCCACACAAGGCACAAGGGAGCCCAGGGTGTGGAGGCCTCCACTGCTCACAAGCTCTGCTCCAGGGCCAAGCTCTCCCACCTCTCTGCCTCACACTGATTTTCTACCCTCCTCTGCCATTGCCCTTTGCCGGCAGCTAGCTATGACTGCTCTCCCTGGAAAAGAGACCCCAGGCCTGCTCACCTTCCTCCACTGTCACCTCCACATTCAGGTGGCACCATAATCCTGGGCCTTGATTGTTACAACAGCCAACCCACTTATTGGTTTTCTTATTTCCCCAACCCAGATACCCTGTCCAACCCAGGGCAGCAATAGAAATATTTAAAAATCATCCATCAGATTGTTTACTCTGAAAACCTCCCAACGAGCCAGGTTTACACAATCTTCTCTCCGTCTCCCTCTTCCATCTGCCCTTCATTTCTTCACCAAACTCTAGCTTGCCTGGGTTCCTCAAACCTGGTGAGTTCATTCCTGCCCCAGGGCCTTGCTCCTGACGACAGGAGCATGAGGAATGCTCTTCTCCTAGCTCCTCGCAGGAGGAGCTGTCCATTACTGGTCACTGATTTCTTCTTCTGTGGGAATCAGGGCCTGCGAAGGTACTTACTAAGGACCCTGTGCACAACGGCCGCAGTGAACTGAATGATGAGAGCCGAGAACGGGCAAGGAAGGGCCCCGGTTCAGTTCTGAGCTGAAGACGGAGAAGCCTAAAGGAGTCCTTGTTTTCCCCCTCCTCTGCCCCCAAGCCGATGTGAGCATCTGCACACCCAGAAGGGACAGTCCCCACAGCCCACGGGAACTCTTACAGGAAGGGATCTCTCAGCTGTGATACTCCTCAGCAGGGCCTAAGACAGTGTGTGTGGCATGGCAGTGCTATTCTCCCATACAGGACAAGGGAGCACCAGGCATGGAGCCCAGGCTGCTCCCATCTGCTGCTCACCAGCCCTGCTCTAAGGCCAAGCTCTCTTACCTCTCTGCCCCAGTGACCCACCTCCAGGGCAAGCAGCTGGGTTCCTATTCTGCCACCAGAAACCCCAGCTATAGTTCAGGTGAGGGTGGCCATGGAGGTGTCTGGGACACTTCTGTGACTTGCTACAAGGACCCACAGGACTGAACGTCCTAGGTGGGGTGTGCAGAGGTGGGAGGCTCCAGGCCTGTCCATGAATGATGGGAGGGGACACAACAGGACTCTGAATGAGATGAAAGGTGTGGGTGGACATGTGTGTAATGTGTATGATGTGTGTGTGTGTGTGTGTGTGTGTGTGACAGAAAGACAGAGACAAGACAGAAAGAGAGGAGGAAGGAGAAAAAGGAAAAAGAACACGAGAAAAGAGGGGGAAGAGTGGAAGAAGAGGAGAGAAGGGAGGGCTTGAGGAGGGGAGGACAATATCAACAATCATAACAAGCCACCCCTAGTGTATAAAGAAGTTGGGCAGTGAAGCACTTGACCTACATCATCTGAGTATTCTGTCAGCCCAGTAAGCAAGTACTGTGATTCCCATTTTACAGAAGAGAAAGTGGAGGCTCAAAGAAGTCAGGTGGCGATTTACTCCAGGGCTAGCCACTTCCTGAGGAGTTTGGAGCTGGGACTTACCCAGGCCGACATCCCACAAGGAAAATGAGACTCAGAAAAATGACTTACCCAAAGTCACCCAGGCAGTCAAGAGCAGAGTCAAGATCAGAAAATCTAGTCCCTCTGCCTCGAAGCCAAGACCTCCGCCCTCCGCCACCAAGGACCCCACACACAGGGCCCAGGCCACCGTCCAGGCCCAGGGCGCTCCCGCGGCTCCCAGGCTGGCTCTGAGAACTGGCAGAGTGGGGTCCTGGGAGCGCCGCGGACTTTCACAGCGAGCAGTGAATCACTAAGGGCAAGACCCGACGTCGGTGCATCCCACGAGGGAATTAGACCTTAACCCAAAGGAATGTGGCTGGGAGGGCGGAATGTCAGGCAGCTCGGGGTGGGGGTGGGGGTCCCTCACGTCTCACCACCCATAAAGAAGGCCGGCTTCCAGCTCCCCCAAAGCGCGCGGGGGAAGGGAAGTGGGCGCGCGTGCCCTCCACAGACGAACACTGGCAGGCTGGCTAGTGCGAGAGGATGAGAGATCTACTGGCCTGGAACAGAAGGCGGGTCGGGTCGTGAGTTCAAATCCCGATCCACCCCGGGGCCCCGGGCCCCCTGCGGACTCTGCTCTCCCAGCTGTCAAATGGGCGCGTTGAGCCCTTCTGGGGTGGAGTGGGGAGAGGGGGGCTGGGGAGACCCCGGAGAGTCGGGGACTCCTGGGGACCCGAGAGGGTCGAGCCCCGCTGGGGGCGCGAAAGGGTGGTGGGGAGGGAGCGTGGGGCGCCCCCCGTGGATCGCGGGGTGGGGCGTGGAGCGTGGACCCCCGGCGCGGGCGGCCAGCCTCTCCTCGCCGACGGCCCCTACCTGGCTCAGCGCGCACGCCGCTCCTCTCCGGGGCAGCCGCGGTACATTTTGCGCAGCCCTGGCCGGGGTCCGCCCGCGCCCGCGCCCGCGCGCGCCTGGTCCCGGGGTCACCGGCCGCCCCCGGCCGCGAGGGGGCGGCGCCGCGGTTTAAATACCTCTCCCGCCGCGCGCTGGCCACGCCCCCCTCGGCCGCGGGGTCCTAGCGCCCGCCTCTGCCCCGGGGGCCCGACCCGGCTGACGGCCGCGCGACCCCGCGGGCCCGCGGTGGAGGCTGCATCTTCCTGGCGCGGGAATCGCGGCTGGGGACGCCTGGACTGAGCCCAGACGGCGCGCGCGCGCGCGAGAGAGGGTCGCGAGGAGGCGGGGCGCGGCCTGGGACCGCCGCACGTGCCGCGAGGTCCCGAGGCGGGGGCGCCCCGAAGCCGCAGGTCCGCGGAGGAAATCCTGGCGCCGCCGCACTCCGCGCTCCGGCGGGGGCTGACCCGGGAGGTGACTGACGGCCGCAGGACGGGAAGGAAATGACCCTTCTTTGGCCCTGGGACGGCTGCGGGGGGCGGGCGGGCGGGGAGACGGGGAGTTCCCCCGCAGCCCGACCACCCCTCGCCCTGGCTATTGAAACCCCAGTTATCAGATGGAGAAGCTAGGGTTAGGAATAGAGGTAAAAACCAGCTGGCCTAGTCTAACCAGGCGCCCCCTTATATGGGGACCTGAGGTTTAGGAAGGTTAAAAAGGTATATTCAGGGGCTGGGAAGGTGACTCAGTGGTAGAGCGCTTGCCTTGCACTCCTGAGGCCCTGGGTTCGATTCCTCGGCACCACATAAGCAGAAAAGGCTGGAAGTGGCACTGTGGCTCAAGTGGTAGAGCGCTAGCCTTGAGCTGAAGAGCTGAGGGACAGCGCCCAGACACTGAGTTCAGGCCCCACAACTGCCAAAGAAAAAAGAAAGAAAGAAAAACAGAAAAAAGTATATTCAAAGGGATATGGCTGATACAAACAAACAAATGGGGTTGAACCGGGTGCTGGGGGCTCATGCCTGTAATCCTGAGGAAGCTGAGACCCAAGGATCGCAGATCCAAGCAAGCCCTACAGGAAAGCCCATGAGACTCTGAGGATGTCCAGTTAACCACCAGAAAATCAGAAGTGGAGCTGTGGCTCAAATGTAGCCATGAGCAAAAAAGCTCAAGGACAGTGTTCTGGCCCATAGTTCAAGCCCTATGACAGACAAAAAACAAAAACCAGGAGGGGTCTTGGAGCTCAATCTGCCCACAAAATTAAACCCGGGTTAATCTAGGCACTATCATAGACAAACTTTTTTAAGTTGTCTAAAAGTAAGGTGTCTTTTGCTTTGGGGGTTGCAGCAGGTCTTCCCAAACTTCCCCCCATTTCTGGATATCAGGCCCAACCAAATTGCTGGTTTCCTCCCTGCTGGGTGTGACTTAGAATTCTGGGGCTTCGGGACCAGGGACCCTCCAGGCCTTCTGGACAATGATCACCAGCAATGAGAGAGGGGCCATGTGAACCATTTTACAAAGAGACAAGTGAGCATCCGGGGCCTGTTGCAAACCCAGGTGGACCAGGTAGAAGCTGGGTTCCCTGATGCAGACTAGACACTGTCTTTTCTTCCTCCCATACAATCACTGTAGAAATGGCCCTAAGATAACCCAGAGATGACACGTCTTGACAGCAAGTGGTCCGTGGGCCTTGACCTAGCTTTGGCCTAATCTTGGCAGAGCTTTAGGTAGATAGTGGGTCAGGGAAGGTTTCCTGGGGGAGAAGGATTGAGCTGCCATGAGGAGATGGAAGGAGGTGGCACCTAAGACCTGAGAAAGATATCAAACTTCCCCTTCCTTCCAGCCTCCATGGATCTGTGTTCCCAGAGTTCCAGCTGACCCATCCCACGCTTCTTAAGACTCTAGTGCTGTCTTCTGGTCAGGTTTCCCTTTGTAAAATGGGGAGAATAGTTGTGTACTTCCTGTGATTGGTGCCAGAACTAAATGTAAGGGTTCCAGGCTGGGGCCTTTGCCCACTGATGTTAGTGGTATTTTGGTGATTGTTGAACACTTCTGCTATATCTCAAGGACTTCCTTTACCAAGTCCTTTCTTTAGGAGCCACATGACTGGAAACATCCCTCACAGGTGCCCTGTAGTGTGAGCAGAGCATGAATAAATCTAATGCAGGCAGCCCAGGTTTTCCTACCTGACCAGTGCCAGTGCTGCCTCACCCTTCCCAGAACTGCAACCAAGCAGAAACCACTGGCCTGGCCCAGTGATGGAACAGCCATTTCAGCCCCCACCTTGGGCTGTGGTTATGGTTAGTTGGTTCATGGGGTTCCACCTTACTCAGGGGCCAGATAGGGCTTCCCAAGAGTTGAAGACATGGGCAGCCAAGCATGCCCACCCACTACAGATACCCCTTGAGACTCAGGGCTAAAAGCTGGGAACTCCTCAGCCCTCCTTCATCTCCTTCCTTCTTCTGCAGTCACATGGTGTGACTTTGTGAAACTTGCTTGATCTTTCTGACCTTTGCTTGTTGTTCTGCAGAGCGAGACTAATAGTGTCACTGATGCCCTGGCTTGCTGGGGTGATCACATGTAATACTGTGTGTAAAGTACCTATTAAGGGGCCTGGCCAGTGTTACTGCTCAGTAAGCATGACCCCTTTACCTTGTGGGTCCCCAGGAGGTCGAGATAAAAAAATAAATCTAACATCTACTCTTCTGGAACATTCAGAGCGCACAGGAGGCTGCTGAGAACACAGAGGATGACTGATCCAGAGCCATCAAAGGCCAAGTCCACCAGCCTGAGCTTGACTCTGTAGAAGGAGGAGGAATGATGGGGCCAGAGCAGGGTTGGATTTACTTGACAAAAACCACATAGAAGGAACCAACTTACCATTCAATACCACTTAGTTCCTTCGGGCACTCTCCAAGAATGGGGGTCACCTTGGGACAGCCCTCAGGTAGCAGCTTAGACATCAGTGTTGGTATTTTTGTGGAAATGCTTTCATTCCTTTTGCATCTATTAGTGAAGACATTGTTTTTAACTGGGTCCTTGGGACTCCCAGTCTGGGACGGTACTTCTCCGACTCCTCAAGGTTCCTTGGGGAGTTCATTCAGGCAGATTAAAACCTCAGGGGTCTATGAGGAGCTAGTGGCTCAGAAAGGCAATGGTTTGTGTGTCCTGTGTGATCTGGGACAAGTTGCTAAACCTCACCAAGCCTTGCTGTCCATGGGAGAGCCAGAGTGACTAGGACGATGACATCCTGGACTCTCAGTGCAGTGTCCACTGCTCTCCACTGAACACCCTCTGCAGCCCAGTCATTGCTCTCATGCAGAATCCGAATCAAGACAGCTGTAGCCAGCCTTCCACATTGATGTTTTTCTTCCCAAAGAGAGGTTACATCACTGGCCCTGGTCATACACCTTTGGAACCAGGAATCAAACCCAAGTCTCTTGCTTCCCAGATTTCAGTGCACATTGTCTGTCCTCACTCTTTGCAGGCCCCATTTAGGTTCTGGGAGTGGAGGAGTTCCCCCATCAGCTGTAATGGCACTCTGATTTGGGGGCAAAGCCTCGGATTCTTCAATTCTTTCCCTTTCCTACCTTTCTTGTCCCCTAGGGCAACCTGGTAAAGATCATGACAGCCTAAGACCACCTCCTGACAAGACCGGAGGAGAGAATCACCAGTGTAGTGAGTGTCAGAGTCAGCACTGGGGACCAGGAAAGCAAACACCCGTAGACACTGAGGACTCTCTTGCTCTGAGAAGTGGCTGGTCCTCTCAGCCATTGTGCCAAAGGCTTATATAGGACCAGGCCTGGAGCCAGGTGCTTTTCCAGAATATGTCCTGCTCACAGCTGCCAGACTAGACAAGATATTATTGTCCCTTTTATGGAGAGGGGACTAAGACTTAGAGCTGTCTGACTGGTGCACACAGTAGACAGGACAGGGCAGGCACCATCCAGATCCTCAGGCTTTGAGGTCCTTGCATGCAGCCTGTTTTGTTTTCTTTTGTTTTGTGTTCTCAGTGGGACATGAGTCACCCCCTCCTTGTGGCACTCAAAATCACTAGCCAGGGGTTGCAGGTGCTAGTGTGTCCCAGTTGCCTCAAAAGCTATATAGGAGGCTCCTGGCTAAGAATCCCGTCAGTGAGCCCTGTGGCTGGGGGCTATGGAGGCTCCTAGGGAGTGTGGAAGGCTAAGTGAGAATATTCAAGACCCAGTGAAGCAGGCAGGGCAAGATCAGAAGCATTTGCACAGCCCGAGTCTGTGCTGGGCCACGGAGCATGAAACCACAGCTTCTGCACCCAGAGGATGCTGGGAACTGAGGCTTTGTCCCATTTTAACCATTTGAATGTCAAACCCGATGGGTTAGTTTCTTGATTGGTGCTGAGTGGAACAGTACAGACTTTGCTTGTTTTGTCCCTGAGGCTGCAAAGCACCAACGCCAAGAGCTGCCGAGTCCAGGGCCAGGTGATGGCAGCATGCAAGCTCTGAAGCCAGCAGTAATGGGTCAGGATGCAACACAGGCTTTCATGCTGCATGAAACAGCCCTGCCAGCCCCTTGGGCACAGTTCTCCCGCAGCCTCTGCTTCCCCATTTGTAAGATGGAGCCGTCATTCTTCCCCCTAAAGGAACAATAAGGAAAGAGTCAGTGTTGTTGAGAAAAGCAGAATGGTACAAGATGTGAGGGCTGACCTAGTTAGTGATACCATCTTCTTTGTGAGAAAGCATTTGTTCTGTGGGTAACACGTACAGAGAGAATGCCAGTGATGGAGAGCATGCCAGTGAGTCCTGGGAGGCCTGGCCTTGGAATTTCTGCATCAAAGACTCCCCTGTAGGCTCATGGCATTGTGAGACCACTGAGAGCACTGTGGAACTCCATGGCAACCTGAACTCCCAGCTCGCTAACAGCAGCCTCCGTCTTCTTCAGAGTGATCAAGCCACAGGTCCTGGCAGAGTGTCTAGAATCTGGCTCCCATGAGCCCAAGTAATTATCACAGTTAACAGTGATATTTTGGAGAATGCTGCCTTCCTTTTCTGCTTCCATTCCAATAAGGAAGGCAGAACCCAAGCCCAGAGAAGGTGAGCATGTT